TAGCTGTTTGGGGCGCTGATGATTGGGCACAGAGAACGGCGTTGAAAGCAGGAGGCAACGAGTGACTGAAAATAGACAGGAGGGGAAATATGGACACAAAGGGGTCGCCTCCCGGGCGAGAGGTCCTTTGATTAGAAGAAGATATCGACCCAGAAAATGACAAACTCCTCCGCGATTCCCTTGTTGATTATTGTGGTGTTAATCCTTTGTTGTTGACGCGCTGGTGTTGGGCTCTGGAGGCTCGCGCCCGAGAATCTTTTGTCTCTCCGCCCCCGGGATCACGGTTGATCCGTTCCTTGGCTGGATCGGGAAAATTCATAACAGACTATCCCAAAAAGGAATCGGCGACCAAAACACGGGAGCGGGGGACTTGCCTAGTCACGGGTCACGATTCTTGGCACTTCATCAGTCATCGCCATGAGTCTGGCAGCAAGCAAGTGAGTCGTGAGTCGTGAGGCATGTCAATCTTGGAAACCGAGTCCCCGTCTGCCCCTTGCTTTGAGACCCGTGGTTGACAACTTGATAGGCGTTGAGGGGCCGGACACGAGTTCTTTCTAAGTAACAAAGAACAACGGAAAGGATGGCTCAAAATAGGCTGCAGATGCACTTGAACATCAAGAGGAAGCCAGATTCCGGTATCTAGTAGTAGTGTTAGAGAGTGTAATACTATCATGTAGATTGATGATATAAAAAGAAATACAGTTCCACAATTTCCCGTCCAGAGAGACCCCTCAGTGTCTGATGGCTAAGGTAGGGTCCTCCCGTCGAAATATATACCTGTATACCGACAACGGCGAGTGCGATTCTCGTGGCGTCCACCCCTCAAGGCTTCCAATAAAACACCTATACTGACCAGCTGGGGCAAACTTTGCTTTACAACCACCTCACTTCTCTCTTACTTGGATATCTTCTTCCAAGTTCGCGGCGGGGTGTTGCGGAAGCTGCCCAGCTCATTCTTGAATGTTTCAGGATCGGCGTATAGGGCTGTATCATAATACAGTAATTTAGATTCGAATCTAAATTGGCCCAATGACAAGCCGCCGGGAATTTTATGATCCAATAGAGAGTCGCAGCGCTCAACCCTCAGTTAAGGCTAAAACGGTCATGTAACGGTTTAATACATTTGAAACAAGGTGCGCAAGGGATTGAAGAAAGGTCCCAGGTACAGCAGTTTGAAGCCAAAACCTAACCTTTCCAGAGTTGTCTTCATCGATACTTGAAAACTGAGGAAACTCCGGAAACGAGCCCAGTTGCTGAGGAGCGGTGAGCGTTGACCGGTTCCTGAGGGGACAACATCCCATGGATTCATTGCGGAGATCGGGGAGACCCAAGTGTTTTTCCTTCAAGAGCTCCCAAGCTTTGCCGTTGATATTCCAAGGTTCCAGCTTCCACTTCCCTTAATGCATATCACAAGACAAGATACCCCGGGCATGCTGCTCTATCTACCCGTGGTCCCTTTATCATGAAATCAATATTGTTATTATACTTTCAGCTTCAGTCACACTAGCACGCAGCAATGATAATTATTGATGATCCGATCGACAGGGCGAGACCGAGTGGGGAAATGGGATGTGATCAGGAGAGGCCCCTGAACTGGAGCCCACTTTGGCGGGCTTGGATGCGACTAAAACCACCGCTAACTTGACCAAGAGTCGACTCAAACCCTGGCCGTTTCTCCTTCATTATTTTCCCTCGCTCTCCGAGTTCACTGCTGGCGCATCGCTCTCTCAAGCAATGCCGTTGTGTGACCCTCGTCTCTTCATCGGCAGTGCTCCCGTCTCCTGATCGCGTTCCCCTGCGTTGACCCCTCCGACACCTTGGAAATCTGCATTCAGCCCGCCTACGAACTGAGCGATTGAGAATCCCACCAAGTCCCCAGAGAAGGCGCCACTGAGCCCAATTTGCGGGATCATCTCCTAGTTGAGCAATGGATAGTCTTGACCGGACCCAGTCGCGTGCCAGTTCGCGCTCGAACACGCCCGACCCAAACTACACCGACTCGATGGTGACCGTACCTTTATCCTCCAACTCGGAAGACACCCAGCCTGAATGGCGAACCCTTGATATCCCTCAGACTCCCGGCGAATGTACGACCCAATTGGACGACGGTACCGAGGCGAAATCCACTCCAACCCCAGCGAAGCCCGATCTGCAGACAGAACTCGCGCTCTCTCGGAACGACGAAAATGACCGGGCGAGCTTTGTAAACGATGCTGTCGACTGGGAAGAGTTGGAAAAGACTGAAGAACAGGAGCCGCGCAATGAAGGGTCCGACGAGGTATGTCAAGCATACAAGCGGTATGGGGGTGGGAATTTTGACTGACTGACGTCTCTAGACAACTGCTCTTCTGTTAGCCCGCCTGGAACAAGAAAACAACGCTCTAGCTACCAACCCGAAATCCGGCTTGACGAAAGTGGCGGCAAAGGAAAATCAAGGGCGCCCAACTCGAGCACAGTCTCTTCATCAGATCAAGCAGTTGATCAAGGAAGGCCCTCGATCCTCTCTTCGATACTCTCAACTCCCACCTCCACCCATGACCGAGCTCGAATTCTGGGCAGCCCTGGTGGCGGACTATCCACAGACAGTGCAGCGGCTCCCAACATTGACGTCGAACAAAATCCGAGGAGGAGTTCCTCCTCCCCTGCGAGGCGTTGTGTGGCCGAGCTTATCGGGAGCGAGGGATCCGTCATTGTTGACTGAGTATCAACGGCTGTGCAACGAGAGCAGCCCATACGAGGGGCTGATTGGAAAGGACATCGGCCGCAGTTTTCCCAACGTGGAGATGTTCCGTGACCCTAACGGCGAAGGCCAACAAATGCTTGCTCGGGTGCTCAAATGTTTCAGTCTCTATGACACGAAGATAGGATATTGCCAGGGCCTAGGCTTCGTCGTCGGTCCTTTGTTGATGCATATGTCGGATACAGAAGCATTCTGCGTGCTTGTGCGGTACGTCGATAACTTTACCCATGGTCTGGCCACGCTAATTACTTAGACTTATGGATCAATATGGTCTCCGAACGTGCTATCTACCTGATCTTTCGGGACTACATCTCCGCATCTACCAATTTCAAAATCTCCTCTCCAGACTCCGACCTGCCCTATTCGAACACCTCGAAGCCCTCAATGTGGAGCCTGTCTATGTCTCCCAATGGTTCCTCTCATTCTTCGCTGTTTCATGTCCTCTTCCGATGCTTCTGCGGATCTTCGACGTTATCTTCCTGGAAGGGGCGTGCGAGACCTTGATGCGCGTCGCGCTTTCGTTGATGAAGCGTAATGAAAAGAAGATCTTGAGCTGCTCGGAATTCGAAGACGTCATGCAGCTTTTGCTGTCGAGGAGTCTTTGGGATACGTAAGTCATCTCTCTAATATGCGAACTTCTTTTTCTTTGCTGATTCGTCCATGCAGATATGCTTTTGACGCAGACGACTTTGTCAACGATTTTGTTTCCCTGACCTCCCTTGTCACGAAAGAGAGTCTGCAAGCTCTGGAGGCCAGCTATAACCAGTCACAAGGAATTCCTACAGGCATATCCTTTCCTCAAATGCAGGCCGCCGCTTCTCGATTCCTAGGTCGATTATGGGCCGGGTCGGGCGCACACACCTCCGTCAAATCACTCAACCTCAACCCAAACCAAGGCAGCTCGGCGAACGATCTCCGTCGGACTACCTCGAAACAGAGCATGGCCTCTACCCTGAATTCCGTCGAGTCCTCTTCCGACGCCAGTACCGCACCGACGGAACTGTCAGTGGATGGACCGAAACCGCGCGCGAAATCTGCCATGCCCCACCACAAGGACCGAGACTTACACACCCAGATTGAGGATCTCCTGATGGCCCTCAGCGACCTACAACGCCAGCATGCAGACCTCACACGGGATCTGCAGCGAGAGCGAGAGGAACGCGAAGAGGACCAAGCCCTTGCGAGATCAATGCTCGAATACATCAAAGAGTCGAATACCGAATCCGACCCGACCAAGATCCTAAGCAAAGCAGAAGAGAGATTCACAGCCGTCAGCTCTACCGAGAGAAACGCCGGCTCCAATGACCAAACGAAACACCAACTCCGCGAAGACATGGAACGTTGGAAGAACATGTACTCCGTCGAAGCCGGCCGCTGTCTCGACCTCACCCGGCGAATCGACGAACACGAGCTGGAAAACTCCTCCCTCCGCGAACAACTCCGCGAAGCCCGCAGTCGCATCCAAGATGGCTACCGCGATCGACAGCGTCTGGAGCGCACCGTACGTGACCTCCGCACCATCAAAACACCTACCCCGGACGCATCCCCCATGGATTACTTTGGCTCCCCAACAAGCGACAACGGCGAGAGCCCGAACCACGGCGGTGGCCTGCGCGAGCTCAAACTCGCCCGCTCCACCTCCACCAAGACCACATTCAATAAACGATCCAGCAGCCTGGGCCTACAATCCGTCCTGTCTACGCAGGAGCACCGACCCCCGGCTGAAGAGGCACTACTACTAGAACTAGTCAACGCCAAGACGGCAGAGGCGGTCGCGAAGCAGGAACTCGAAGAAGTCAAGGGGAAGCTGGACTCATTACGGAAGATGGTCGGGGGCTCGCGGGGTTACGCGCGCGCTTCAACGCAGTCCCGGAACTCGTCCCTGGGCTTGCCGCCTAGTCCCAACCTTTCGAAGTCGCAGACAGAACCTCAGACGAACACGAACTCGAGTGGGTTTTTTAGTGGCTGGGGGAGGTAGATGGTAGATTTTGCTTTGTATTTGCTTTTGTATGATACCAGATGTGCTCATTCAATGTATATCTTTAAGCCAATTCAGTACTGCTGTATCTACGTAGTATTCACTCTTCTATTTAAATATCTACGCACGGACAATACCCGTGGTTCGCGCCTTAGCATCTCAGTTCTCTAGAGAAGCCGAACCCACCGGGGGTTGGTTGGGTAGATAATTTAAAGAAGCTAGGGCGGAATACAATTTTGGCTGGGGAATAGGTGCTTATTGGGCCCAGCTAAGGCATCAACTGCCCGGGTGGTCTAGTGGTATGATTCTCGCTTAGTAAGTTCCACTTAAGAAATACCTTATTTAGTTATACTGTTACTAACAGCGCCTTCAGGGGTTCACCCTTAGCAAATATGCGAGAGGTCCCGCGTTCGATCCGCGGCTCGGGCCATTTCTTTTTTTGATTTTGATTTTCCTCATCTTTTTTTCCGGATCTACAGTCAGATGCGTTCTCGAGGGCAATGTAATATTGGACCGTTGTACTTCTATGAAGATTGCTCCTAGGCGGCCTACAATCCGTGAAGCTAATGGAATTAGCTCTACTTACATGCCGTTACCTGGTCTGAGGCTTTGAAATCCAGCGTCTAGAGGTCTGGCGCCCCACCGTTTAACGATGTCAATTGCAGCTCAAATACCGACAGATAAGCTGGTAGCTGTGAGAAAACCGATACATACTTGTGACACCAAAGTGTATCTCAGCATTTAATGGCTGAATGAGTGCTGAGAGGCGGATCCGTGTCGGAATAGATGGAGAGAGCGGAAGCTTCGAGCCAGTAGCAGGTGCTTGTTGTCGTCGCCCGGTAATGCAACTGAATCCGACGGCTGCAACTCACACTCCTTGCACTGTATGTAGCTCCTTGATCGTAGTAGGGTGGGTAGTGACTGTGATAATCCAGGTGTAGGAGCAGTCCCTTGACAGGCCTTGGATATATAAAATTGTGATAGTCCTGCTGGCCTGGTAGGCTGGTTTGATGATGGTCAATCCATATAGATTTTTATTGCGATTGCCTTTGTAATCTATGGCTACTGCCGCTATTCACGTTATTGCCATGTTTATCCCCCCAGTTTCTCCATACCACCATACCACCGCGGCCTCCAGCTCGACTGCCAAGTTACCACCACTATGTCACCAGCTGAGACGCCCAATGGCCCGAGCCAATGGGCCGAGAAGGTATCTCAACTTTTTTATACACTGCTGGGAATCTGTCTGTCCTTACAGAGTCAACATTCCCACTCTGGAGTCCACGGCACCCGTCGTGACCGTAGTATGTGAATAGAAATATTGTGCTCCACCACAAACTGCATCCCTAAGCTTGGCTTTCAAGTGTGACCACCTGGAGAACATGAGGTTCCCTTGTGGAAAAGGCGATGGCGGATTCCCAGAGGCTACTGTAAATAGTAGCTTGATGAAATTACTCTGGGATCATAAACTGTAAAACAAGATGCGAATGCTGGTTGTGGCCAAGAAAATGTGCTGACAAGACAAGTAGATAAGATGGAGTTTGTAGTCAAATGATAGCAAAGGCTTATATATCTATATTTGGAGGCTGAAAAGCACACTCGCCCGGGTGGTCTAGTGGTATGATTCTCGCTTAGTAAGTTCCACTTTAAAGATTACCTGATTAAGATTCAGTTTACTAACAAAACCTTCAGGGGTTCACCCTTAGCAAAAAATATGCGAGAGGTCCCGCGTTCGATCCGCGGCTCGGGCCGATTTCTTTTTTTTACTTTCATATTTCATTTTTTTTTCTCCAGCCCTAGGTAAGAATGAATGCGGCCTGACGGGACAAGATTATGCATTCCTGTCTGGGTGGTTAAATCAATAAGCGGATTAGAGATTTGACCTGAATTTTATATACTACCTGGATTATTACAAGGTAGGACCTATCATCGCAGCCGGATTTAGCATGTAGTGGCTCTCAATGATCCTGTGTTCCATGCTGACTGCATGATACAAAGAACCTTAAGAAACTCTACCTTACTGACTAGATTTATCATTCATGCCATGATCGCCATATGTAACAGATCCTATCTGAGCTAAGATCCAACTAGAGCCGATTTGGTTTGACTACTACTGAGCTCTTTACAAATCAAGACTTATTTATAGACGACAGATGAAATTTAACTAACCCCTACACTGCAAGACCTGTAGAATTATCAGTTTCCATCAGGAGATCAATAATTCTAGATAATGCTTGAAGGTCGCCCTCCCGAGCCTCGGCTTTGTCTGCATCAACCCATCCTTCTGTAACACCTCCCCCAAAATCAGTGATGCAAAGATCATTATTCGTGTCAACTAGTATATTGTCTGGCTTTGCATCGCCCCAAATGATCCCTGCGGCATGTAGCCTTCCCACCATCCTTCGGAGCTGTTCTGTCCACTTTTCCCGCATATGCCAAGGAGTAGCATCGAGATCGATATCTGCCAAAGTGCCGTGATGCTCGAATACATCGAGCAGGATCCCCGAGATCTGGGTACCGGTATGATCTCCCTGGCCTTTCACCAGCTCATGTAACGCCGGGGTGCGTACAACATCCGACAGGCCGCTGGATTTGATATGCATCAACGCAAGTATCTCACGACCGGCTTGCTCACTGCAGTGAGTTTCTTTGAAGAATCGGATCGCACCAGATCCGACCGAGACTTTCTTTGGCCGTTGAGGAAGATCCGTCTCCGTCTCATGCTGTAATAATTCGACTCTCGAAGCTTCGACGGAGGGGACTTCGAGCTTGAGAATAGCGGGCGATAAATGAGCCTTTGGTGCGAATTGTTCTATCGGTTGCGGATTCAACGACGACTCAACAGAGAAAAACTCCCCATTCAGAGCTTTTGGAACGAGGTCCCAAGTTGGTATGTTGAACCAGCCGTGGAGAGTTCGCACTCGAGGGTTTCGCTGCTCCTACGACGATAAGAGTTTCATGACCGAGTTGCATTTGAATGCGATCCAAAAGCAGACATTTTCCATCGGATCTCCCTCAACGCTGCTCTCTTCATCACTCTCTTCCCCAGCATGGTCCTCAGAGTCCAGGTTTCGCAAAAGAGCCAAGTACTGTGCAATGGTTTCGGGGTCATTTTGGAAATTCCTGGCGGAGACCGTGATGTGAAATCGGAGGCCGTGACAGAATTGTCAACTCAGTATCGGTACCAGCGCCGCGAGAGAATTCGAGAATATCGTATGCTGGTAACTCTTCCATATCTAGTGGCAGAGCGATCAAACCAGAGCAATAGATTCGAGAGGTGACTCTGCAGAGAAAACAAGAGATAAACCTTCAAGTGATGATGGAAAGTGACTTGGGCTAATCTACTAAGATAGTTATATCTTCGACTTGAATGACAGAGGACAGACACCTAGCCTACCTGGTGACCTGATTCCGTCCAGCTTGAGTTCTAGGTTCAGCGAACCGCCTATATTTAAATGAATCAACCTGGCTTCACCCTTGCCTACACGTTCTGCAACACAGACACAGTCGTAACTATAGACCAGTATATAAGCACATACTTCGAAGTCGAGGGACAAA